CGAGTGGTCTAAAGCGCTGTCCGTTACGGATCACTGCCATCTCACCTCTGTCTGCGTGGGTTCGAGTCTAGGATTCGGCGAATGTGGATATGTGAGAAAGCTTGCCAGTAGCTTCTCGTGGGTCGGTGGTTCTTTCCGGTGATTTCCCGGTTTCTTCCTCCACCATTAATACTGGCCGCCATGAATAGCCTATCGTGTGCTGAAAAATGGCGTTAAGCCCAACAACAACAACAACAACAACAACAACAATATAGCTTGAACTCTTTATCCGGGAGGATCCAGGCACAGTTGGTTATGCTGTGTAAGATCACCAACAACCATGAACATATTTCTGCTGACCAATATCTGACTCTATCTTCAAGTAAAACTAGAGTACACCACAACATAAATATCTGTACTTATATACCGCTACAAACATCTATAAATTAAGTTTTTCCCCCGTACAATTTGCTCTTGGAACTCCTTACCATATGATTGTAGAAGCTCCTAGCTTGATATCATTCAAGTATGAGCTAACTCAACTCACCTTCTAGGCTATAAGCTGATTCCCAAACTATGCTGTTTGAAGTACATTTACTTCGCCGCCGCCACGGCAGACGGACAGGTCTAACACAAGGGACGAATATGTAGCTTGGCATAACTTCTTGACCACTTCCTTTACAAATTCGCATTTCTATCTATCTTATTACTCTGTTCTTTCTTCTTTCTCCTGTGCACCACCGTAACATAACAGCCAAGGATGACTGCAAAGACATTTTGTATAGAACGATCACTCGTTTCTCTCCACCCTACCCCCATCTCTGAATAATAATTACTTTTCTTATCTACCGTCATTCTACATAGAGCATTCATATGTGTGTCGAACTGCTACAGTATTCATATTTGTGCTAAAATGCTAGTTTTCATATGTATATCGAAGTGCTAACAATCACATTTTGTCTTTAGGATAGTCAAAAATCAGTCTGTAAATTGATATGGTACATATTTAAAAATTAAAGCATGCAGTGATACTCGAAAGCGTTGCGTTTATATGGTATCAGTATTCGTGGATATCATGATTTTTGAGGTTGCCAATTTTCGTCGATATCTACATTACTGTAAACAAGGAAATTAAAGGCACAACGAACATGACCTGTCAATGAGCACAAAAAAGAGCTCTTCCGCAATCCACAAAATCAGACTGAGGTACAAATATATTGTCCCAAAGCAACGAAATTTGATACTCATGAATACAAAATGAATTAAGTCACCAACATGAAAATTACCGTAAACTCTGCTATAAACTATTATTTGACAAACCTTAGACTCGTTGGAATTACCTTCTATGAATAATATATAAATAACAGTCTGTAAAGTTATCTTGGTTCAAACTTTTAACAATATTAATTCAACTGTAGAGTGGTCTAGCTTTATTGTGCAAAAAGCAAAACAAACACATACAAAAAATGCATTTTAGCATCCCAAATGACAGGTAATTTTAGAAACAAATGTCACTGTTTATTTATACCAGATTCAAATAAATCATTGACGTTTCTTTAAACAGAGATATCTTGTTATTGTATTTCATCAACTGTCACATTATTATTTACCTATAGTGTCATATAACAATCTCTCTTTCTCAAATATGCATTGTAACTTGTACTTTTACTCCTAGACTCCATGAAAGTGGTTTCTGTAAGGATCCTAAATAGAAGATCGTGGTCATTTCGGATTCATAATTCGGACTACTCGATGGTAATCGGGGTTAATGTTATAAACATAGGAGAAAAGTGGTCATTCTCAAAAGAACAAGGCCATTATTTGTTGTTATTGACAGAAACTTCCAGTGGTATAGTAAGTTGTGTGTGACAAAATCGTAAATGAGACCAAGTCAGTAAATGCAGGATTTTCCAACACTTCAAAGATATCGTCAGCATGATATTGGCTGTGATATTGCCAATACTTTGATTTGCCCGATATTATATCTTCTCGTGTTTTCCAAATTTCCACTTGCCCAAAACTACTAATTTAATTTTACTTGTTCTATTAATAAATGTGATAAAATGTGCACTCTAACGCACAAATGTATGAGCTTCCCTTTTTGTTGCTGGAATTCAAATATCTTAACGCAAATATATTTTCCCAACTTTAATATTCACTACTACAGCTCGTGCGTGGAAAACATTTGTCAACAATAACGTCTCATAGGACTTATAAGGTCTCCGTTATAAGTAATTGAATTACTATATCTCTTACTAAATACTACAGCCCTTATTGAATACTATATCTCTTACTGAATATTACATCATTTATTGAATACAATATCTCTTACTGAATACTACATCCATTATTAAATACTATATCTCTTACCGAATATGACATCCCTTATCGAACACTATATCTATTACTGAATAATACATCCCATATTGAATAATATATCTCTTACTGAATACTACATCCCTTATTGAATACTATATCCCTTACTGAATACTGCATCCCTTAGCAAATACTATATCTCTTACTGAATAATACATCCTTTATTGAATAATATATTTCTTACAGAATACTACATCCCTTGTCGAATCCTATATCTCTTACCGAATACATTACTTATCAAACACTATATCTCTTACTGAATGCTGCATCCCTTATCGATCACTATATCTCTTACTGAATACTATATCCCTGTTCGTACACTATATCTCTTACTGAATACTACATCACTTATTGGATACTATATCTCTTACTGAATATTGCATCCCTTCTTGAATAATATATCTCTAACTGATTCTACATCCCTTATTGAAAATTATATCATATACGAGTGAAGAGTTTGCTAATTTTTTTTAAATTTCACTTACTGTTTCAAAACATATCAAGATACATTAAGCCATGTATTCACGCGCTGTCTGTCGTTTGCAATCATTTCATTACTTAGTTAAAGGGAGATATAATGATATTTGGAAAATCTTTCATTAGGTCAGTTTTCCTTTCTGAGTGTCAATGTTACATCTCCTTGTTTTACTAAATATATTTAAATCCGTCTCGCCAGGGTTCCTAATTACATTTTATGCTTCCATTGCTTAACCAAGAAAATCTTACCAGAGTATAGAAGCGGAAAAATAATAATTACAATGGCAGCAAATTTTAAATGCATTAATCTCTTTATATATATATATATATATATATATATATATATATATATATATATATATATATATATATATATATATATATATATATATAGTTAGTGTTTTAGAAATGTGTTTAAAAGGTCAATCATACAATTTGTGTTTCAAATTCCATTTGCTAATTGAAAATTTTATTCTCTACCGAGACCAGTGTTTGGAATAAAGAAAACGTTATTCTTTAAAGCATTCCGTATCACAACTCCCGAAAACCGATATAGACATAACTGCATCATCTGTACTTAATACAGACTTTCCATCTTGATGCTATTGAGAATACACGTAGGATCCGGACAAATTACAGGTATACGCACTTAGTATGGATACCATAACCTGCATATGCACGTAGCGTAGCGTGAGTATAAGTATCCTGCATATGCCCGTAACATATATATATATATATATATATATATATATATATATATATATATATAGAGAGAGAGAGAGAGAGAGAGAGAGAGAGAGAGAGAGATTGTGTAAAACAAACCTATATCTAACCACCTGTAGCTGTACAAAACATGCATACAACTAACACACAAACACACACACACACATATATATGCATATAACAAACTTTTATGTGCACATAGTATGCATACAACTAACCTGTATAAATATATATCATGCATTCAGCAATATTATATAGGTTCATAACATTCATACAAGAAACCTATATATGCGCATATCATTCATAGAATAAGCCAATATTTATATGTAATAAACCTACATATGCACGTGACATGCCAACAATAAACTTATAAGTATTTACAATACAGCCTCTAAATACACAAGGCTTATACACAACAAAACTGTTTATACATAAAACAAGTTTAAATGTGCAGATCTTTATCTATGCAACAAACCTAAATTTGGTGTGTGCTAAGATATTGTAATTATGCAAAAAAAAAGACAATCTGTCTGCACGATTTGTCTTGCACAATCCTTTGTGTATATCTTAGTTTATGAATTATTTATTATTCGTATATGTTTCCTTATCTCCAGAGGCTCAAAAAAGTCTTAAACTCTTTTTCAACTCAGTAGAACTACGATATAGTTTATAAATCTCGTAGCTGTGTGGACCTCAACTGTATGTTTGCACAAAAGATGTGCAGACTATTCCAGTGAGACCAGTGTTTAGGTAGTTTATTGTGAATTATCCAGGCTTCCTTGTATATAAACAGCTAAGCGGTTATAAAATATGATTTGATTCAATGATGCGAGTCATTCCCATAAGTGTGCTGTAGTTATTATATTTGTATTGAATTCGTCAGCGATCGTCACTATCATTTTCCACATGAATATTATATATTCGGTTATTTATTTATTTATTGTATATTTTTGAATAACATTTGACAACGTTATATTCTACAACCGTCATTGAAAATTAAACCGAAGCATGAAATAATAACAATAAAGTTCATTTTATCATTTTTGCGCTAATAAATTTAAAAGACTAATCTCATTCATTAATTCTTAATGAAGTAATTCAGTTCATGCGTTTTTCTTAATAACCTCGCATAAAAGCTGTGACATAAAGGGAACTGTTGCATTGCCGGTAAACTTATCATAAGGGCTTCAATATAAGTAAACTTATTAGCATTGTTTGTGATGTGATGTGATTATGATTTTTAACGCAGCTTTAACAAGTTTTAAGTCATATCTGTCTGCAGTGTGGTAATTTATAGTGATGTCTAGCACTGGGGCATGATGCTGCAGACATGTAGCATGTCCCACCCAGTCACATTATCCTGAAACCAGACCGACTAGTCCTAACACTAACCTCTTAATGTTGAGCGCCAAGCGAGGCAACTGCTAGTACCATTTGTACGTCTTTGGTATGACTCGACGGGGATCGAACCCACGACCTCCCGCATCCTAGGAGGATGCACTAACCACTAGACCACCATAGCGGTTGCTAGCATTGTTTTGTTTGCATTGAATGTCAGTTTCCCTAAGGAGCCATGCCGCGTTTTTCCCATGTGTTCAAGTACTGGGTTTCTGTTCTGGGTTTTAAAAAAATCAATTCCAGATTATTCCCAATACGTGTCCTTGTCATTTCCAGCAGCAGAACCCAAATGTTTTGGTTTCGTTACCTTCTCAGTGAAAACTGAAATAGATCGTAACTCACTTAAAAGGCATATTTCTACCTGCTGTGGCACTGGCAGTTGTACCAGCATACCGGAATAACATTAAAAATTACTTCTAAAATTAAACATTTTACGATTTATGTTTATTTTACTGTTTGCGTCTCAAATAGCCAAGGTTTCTGGAAACAAAGCAACCCTATGTCGCATTAGTGACAAAAGTACGTGTATATATTTGGCTACAATTTGACCTTCTTTACGTTCAGTACGAGATATACCAAATAGCTGAAGAAAACATAAAACTGAATAGGAAATGGTTTGAAGCATTTGCGAACAAATGACATAGATAGGTGTATCTATACCTAATGTAATCAGCATATTTGTAGCTTGGATGAAAACAATGATAAGCCTTGAAAATATCTTAATATTTAAATACCTTTTTTCCTGCTTATCATATCAATCTACCTTCCATTCACACGTGGACTGACAATCAGTCCAAGCAAGCCTACGTTTTGGTTCAAAGAATTTAATGACAAAACCATTTCAAAATAATCTTAATGGAGAGAAAAAATAAATCATTAAGAAATTAAGAAACCATACACATATTATTTCCAATCATTGTATAAAATTGTTTGATTTTATTTGGATAACTTATCAGTAACACTAAAAGAGCAGTCAGTTATGTCCATGTAACCATCTGAAGAAGTTCTTTAAGCTTTAACGATTCGGTCTTTTATTGAAAACATTTTCCACCCTATTTTTGAAATATAACGGTATTATCCAAGCGAGACATATGATAAAAGACGGATATTGTATTGCTTAGTCGTGTACGTTGAATTTATATGCAACATTATCTCAAGAATTTTAAAATATAGAAATCTTTGTCCTCATCGTTGTGGAAGGCGGAAACAGACAAAATAAGGGATTGCTTAGTTTGGGCGAAATGTGGTTGCCGGTTATTTAGCCAGGTCATTATGGTATCCATGAAGGCCAACTCTGATCACCCCTGAAGTTGTTGATTCTGGCAAACCTCTCTAGGCTAATCGTCCATCGGTTGATTTACCGATCACATAAACCATGACGACGCCATAAAATACAAAGGTGATTAAGGCAGATTCCTCTGCAGGACGATTCAAGTTGTAATCTGGAGAACGCCTTCTAGAAGCTAGGCCCCGACCAATCTTCTGAATAGCACAAAAGAAGAAAAAAAAGGATTTTGTGGAAGGTTAAGGATTCTTGTTAATCGGGTATTTTAACGAGACGTCAAGATACTAGTGATTGACTTGAGTACTAAACTGGGCTCCGACTATATAGGGAACGAACTGTCTGGAAACAATACAGGAACAATTTCAACTGAATTTTGTTCATTCAATTGCATGTCCATTGGATTCACTGCGTTTCCCTTCAAACGAATTCGCAGAGCAATATGTGTTGTACCAGATGGGAAAACAGAAAATCAGACTCGCCAAGTAACCCCTGGCTTCAAGGGGAGAAGCATCCTCCTAGATGTATTCGTTTAAAGAGGAGCAGGTTCAGCGTCCAATGTCAAGGCTGCCATAATGAGGTTAACCGAGCTGAAGAGTAGCGCCCAAAACCGGATCCGATGGTAAGAAGAATAGTCAAGACCTTATATTCTAACGGGAGCATAGAGCCATAAAAAATAGTCTGAAGCTGTGATATTTTTCTAATTATTTATTATTCATAACATAATAACAATGTAACTCTATGAAAGCTCAATCACTAGAGTAATTTATTTAAGTGGAATAATACCTGTATATAAGATATTGTATCATGTGATTGAATGTTACTGAAAAACCTCAACATATAAATATATTTGCAGTATTGCAAGCTGTTGGGGTAAGTCCCATAAGGTGCTTTGAGCTTGCTAATGTAGTATGTTTGTGGTTGGCTTCATTAATGTCTTATTAATTTCGATATAATTGTCACCATTTTAATTTCCACGAATAAACCTGTCGGGGAACAGATCTCGCTGGACTATTGGCAGCACATAAACATCTCCACGCTTTAAGTTCTTAAGCCGCAGGCAGTGTAAATATTTTCTTGCAGTAAAGTCCATATATATTCAGTCTTTTGCATATATGATGACATCAATTCATTATTCTGATATTTTCAAAATTGAATCCGTTTTGTATCCTGATATGATGAAATTTTATTTCTTCCGTGGGACAATGGCTTCTGGAGGGGTCTCATCGAGAAGATCTTTGTCATTTTTTATGCCAAAAGTAGAGTTTCTGTATGATAATCGGGGTTAATGTTGCAATGCATAGAAATGGAATCATACGGAAGAGTATCAGGCCACCTATTGATATCATTTACCGACAATTTCAATTGAGTCATATGGTGTATATGACGAAATGGCTCTAGTACCTGAGTCAAGGGAAACGTAATCTGAATCAGTAAATGACCGTATTTCCAAACACTTTGGACACATCATCGGCATCATGTTGGTAGTCTTAGGAGAATTAGAAGAGGAGATCCTTCGATGCCGCAAACAAAAAACCGTGATCACAACAATTAATAAGATTACTACCACACCCTCAACTGCAATGATAATGTACAGCACCGTAACGGGGCAGTCCGTACTTTGATCTGAAAGCAGAAAGTAAAACCAATTACTTATGTCAATTTTCGTGGGAAATAAATTCATTCAATACAATAATATAAGGATATGCTGCTCGTTTTGTTAATTATTTAGACATTAATTCTTAAACACTTTCCATAAGATTCGTCTATCTGTTTGTGATTGATGAACTATATAACTAACTCGCATCAATGCCTGTCCCTCACACAGTTTAAAGATCTATCCAAATTTTAACTATGATACCGACTTATTTCGGATTTTACATTGCTTAACAAGAGAAAATAGTCGTCAACTTAATCAACGAATAAAAGTTTTTAAATATGTTCCATAAAAGCCATTTCCACCCAGAAAGTAACTAATCTTTATTAGAACTCCACTAACCATTTCACAGATGGTTTTATCTCATTTCTATTTATAGTGAGAAACAAAACATCACAGCCATCTTTCTACCCCGAAAAAGATGATCTATAACTGTTTTCCATTCAACTCTCTCCATCTCCAAATAGTCCTTGATCAAGCTTTTGTGCGAGAAAAATTACTGTATATTTATTGCATTTTATTTTCCTACCGATGTGCGAGTGTCTGATGTTTTTTACTAAAATTATGAGACAGTTTTAAAAACATGAGCATTTTCCTACGATGTTTGTAGTACTAAACAACATTGGTTTTCATACTCGACCTATTAAATATCAACTTTCTTGCTGAACGAAGCAAGTTTTTTATTCTGACACTTAAATCAAGTGATGGTCACATACATGCGTAGTATTCTTACCATTCCTTAAAAATGAGAAAATACAAGTTATATTTTGGCTTATCAGTTCATTCGTCCTTCCACATTTCCGTTGGTTTTATGTCTGCTTTCTGACACTGCAGCCATTTGAGTTATAATACAGCAAATTTGTTTTAATAATAAAACATTTTCAGAGAGAATGAATCCTATCTTAATTATTGCCTTCTCTAACCTTCACTTGTATAAATTATAGGCATTAAACTTTGTCTATATATATATATATATATATATATATATATATATATATATATATATATATATATGAAACCGCTCAGGTGGCCTAGTGGTTAGAGAGTCCGCCTCGGATACAGGATGTCGCGGGGGTCGAACCCATGACTAGTCATATCAAAGACTTTTTAAAATGGTGCTAACAGCTATCTCGCTTGGCGCTTAGCATTATTAAGAGGTATTATTAGGACTGGTCGGTCTGGTGTGAGCAAAATGTGACTGGGTGAGACATGATGATAAATGTTTGCGGTATGATGTCCCAGTTTTAGACATCACTATAAACTGCCACATTGCAGATATCTTTGCAATATGTGACGTGTTTTAAATATGCATAATTCTAGTCGAAGTATAGTAAATATGTTGTTACGACCATTGCGGCTTAGACGATATCGTATTTTTATATTCTACCAAGCTACGTACCCTGGATTTCAGCGTGTCAATGGGGTTATATATATGCTCATTTATTCGTCTTAAATTTAATTGTTGTTCTAAAATTTCGTTCGGAGTTAAATAAGTCTGTTATCATGACTGCTAATGCGCTGTCCTAAAAGTCACTACAACAATAATAATAAACGAATTGAAGACGAAATTTTTTAATCGATATGGACTTTTACGATGGTGTCCAGGTCACAAACTGGGGCACGAGAAAGTGGCGTTGAGTTAAATAGTATCAAGTGTCAGGGTAGTACGATCATTTTGCTCATAACACACGCAGCCTTTGTGACAGCAGAGCGTGACAGTCATTTCGGTTACTACCCGATCACACGTTTAGGTTGATATCATCCAAATATATCCACGTACTTCTACGTTGATTTTGCCGTATGAAGTTCACGTGGCCGTGGCGTATGTATAATGACCTTACAATAAATACGGATCAAACTAAAGTGTAGAGTTGCCACTTAAAAGTATGCATAAATCAAATTATACAAGCATAGCACCTATTACTTTAATAGCCGGTACTTAACGACTTCATGGCTTGTAAGACGTACTATATAACTTAAAACCTCATTTGAACACACGCACCAAACCCCGTTTGAGAAGTTGTCACAATCAATTAAATGAATATGTATGTGTGTGTTTTGGAGTTTGAATGTAGCATTAAAATTTTTCATTCATATCTCTACGAAGCCTGCAGTGTTTCAATTTAGAGTGATGTCTTGCACTGGGGCATCATGCTGCAAATATGTAACATGTCTCTCCCAGTCA